AGGTCGAGCAATTGTAAGAAATATGTCCAGGCTGTCGGCAGTTATAACACATAATTGGTAGACGATTTTTACAAAAATTATTTCTACCTCCATTATAAGTTTCTTTAGGTTTATTATTACTATTTTTTACTAAAATGACCAGCTCTTCCATTAATGTAGTTAATTTATTCATAGGATCTTCAGTAAAGTTGGATGTAGATGGTTGAATTAGGCCATTTGCAGGTTGTGGAAGGTAAGAGACTATAGAATTCGTGAAAGGAGTCGAATTATATACTGTTAAGTTTCTTGAAAGTGTTAACTGCTAATTCTAGCCTTCTCTATTGCCACCTGTAAAGTTCTGAGCATGAACAATCCTATCGCAAGTGCTAAATTAGGTCGTAATCCTTATACAAAGATCTGTGCCTTCATAGATTCTGGATATTGGTTTTCTTCTATTATTACTCGTCTAAACAAAGCGGCCATATCTGCTGCATATTGATCAATGATTTCCCCTACTCTTTAGCATCTAGTAAGCAATTTAGTATTCCATTGACTTATAAGTATTTGAGTACAAAAATGCCGACGAAACTGATGAACAAAGCTAATGTCTGGGTGAAAATCATCTTTCCAATGATCAATATGAGGTCTGGTATTACGTCTAGTTTCCCACCACATAGCTACCATTCCCATGAGATATTCACCAATAACTGCTATCTAACGATTTTCTTTGATATTATTAGCTTCAAAAGCACAGCTCACTATTTCAAGCCACTCTACAGGATCCTGATTAGCTCCAGCAAAAGTAGGAATGATCACCATATTCATTTCTCGAATTTGTTATTTGGTTGTATTTGAGGTATAATTTCGGCCATTAATTATAACAGCTTCTGCATTTGTTGTTGAAAATCGTTATCTTGATTCTCTGGACCATTATTACCGTCATTATTATTGTCGTCCAAGTAATGATCCATATTACATAAACTTCTTCAATTCTAATTTCTCTTTTACTTGATATATATATTTAATCTAAAAATTAGCATTCAACCTCGTATTTCTGGTTATAGTGTTCTTCTACACAATCGGCACCAAATGTTATGATCTGAAGGAGAGCTTTATTAAACTTGAATTAATTTAGCTTGGATTGAGAACAAACTTGAACATGAGGTTTTCACGTATAGATCAATAATTACATTTAGGTTTCAGATAAGTATTAAAAAAAATATAATTGTCTAACAATATTTTGAACAAATGAGGTTTATTTATTAACTTTCAATTTAATACATTTGTAGGAATAGTGCATTTAGTCATATTTACTTATAAACAAATAAATACACACATTCCTCCCCCTTTATTTATCAAAAACCTTTCCTTTTTATACTTTCTAACTCATAACGGGGTCATTTGCCCTTATAGAGAACATCAAATGCTTTCTTAGGGTTAATTTCCCTTATCTAGGATTATCTAGAGTTTTTAATCCTCACCAAGGATTATTATCTCTCACTAGGGGTTATTCTCACCTAACCAAGCCCCATAAATCCCATTCATATACCCAAAATAAAATAATAATATAATATATACTGTCCAAATAGATAACAACATTTATACAAAAATAATAAAAAATAAAACTAATAATATCAATTTTCATTTCCAAGCATAACACAGGTTTGATTAATTAATAATCAATGATCATCAAAGAACATGGTGAAAGGCAAAAGAACTACAACAAAAAATTTGTGAACTAAGTCATCTCAGCCTTCTGACCAACAAAAATTTATGCAATTTGTCATTCTATTGCCAACTACCCCAGGATTGCTACCAAAATTTTTTATGCTCACGTGAAGATCTATAGGAATTATCCAATAGATGATAATAATTTGGTGTAATGTAACATAATCAGAAAAATTCAAAACAAAGGTTCATTTTTGAGAAAATTAGAAAAAAATGCTTGTTTTCCGAAAATTAGTATAAGAAACTACCATCTGTGTTCTAACAAAAAACTTCCTCAAGCAATTTTACTATATTTATCATTAAATTCTAACCTCATACTAATCCTAATCCTACATAAATAAATTTAAAGAATTTACTGCATATCACATAAAAATTTTGGTGGCGATGCAGAGGAAGATTTCTATTACCACAGCAGAGATCAATTTCATGCTTCGCCACATTCTGAAAATGTGCACTATATTCATTACCAATAGCAATTTAAATTTGAATCAGACTATATAGATGTGTAACATCCAGTAACTGTTTTATTTGAAAGGTGATCAGATCATACTGTACTATAATTCTATGGCTGTATGGATCACAGTATAATCATTTCACATGACTAATATATCTGATTTATTATATGAGTGACGGAGAGAGAAAATCTGTAAGTAAATATTTAAGTTATCACTTTGGTAAAGATGATCTCTGAATAATTATGATCTTACATAATTGTTCTGATCATTTCTGAAATCTGACATACTGTAGAGCTCAGATATAGAACATATGTATATACATTGTACTACAAAAATATAAGAGACACATATCTATAGAAATGACCAGAACACTGATCTTATATGTGATTAATTATGTAAGATTACAAATTTATTCAGTGGCAACTTTGCCAGCGTGTTAACTTAAATATTTACTTACAGGTTTTTCCTCTCTGTCACTTATATTAAAACACTAATGTCTATCACACTATTGATCAATTGAAAATTTCCAATGCATACTGTTTGTAATCAGGTGAGCATTTGGCTGAAGAATTTTAAAAGTTGCAATGTTTGGTATGAAATGTTTATTTCATTATTAGCAGAACCAAGGTTATTACTAGAAGTATTTCAAGAAACTGCATGTGTTTTATGAATAAATTTCTAATGACTTTCTCTCTTTTAATACAAGATTGCAATTAAAAACTTAGAGAAGTCATTGCTCTTGCAAAAGGTTCCAGTTTAACTTCCCGAAATCTATTTTTCTAAGCACCATTTTACTAAAGTTGTAATATAAAATCCATTTTATTAGCAGGACAGAAATAGGTCTGTGTTATTTCACTGAAAATCAATTAATTGATAAGTTTCTTTTACTAATAATTATTTCACTAACAGGGGTTTTTTAAAAAATTGTATTAACCTTAACTCTAATTCTAAATTTGGCTCTAATGACAATGGCCAGAATTACTTTGTCAATAAAATGACTACTAGTTAAATAAACTGTCAAAAAAAAAACTTATTGGTTAATTGATATTGTAACTATTGATAGGAGAGCTTAAGAAAATAATATAGATAAAGTCCAATTTAACTCCAATGGTGTGTAGAAAGATAAAGATAAATTAGAGAAATAAAAGGAGTTTGTTTACAACTGTCTGAGATCTATAGCACTTAGAAACAAAGGCTTTAATATTAATAGAGGTAAAAGTGGGTAATGCAACTACAGGTGATGCTGTTAGAAATATGTATTTCAATTAGGTTGATGAAGTAAAAGTAGTTGGTGATCAAGTGATATTAGCAGTACCTTTACACACACATGAGGAATTAACCAAGTTTAATAACTGAACATAAGTCTCATAAATAACAATATCTGATTTTACAAACATTCCAGAACTAACTTTTAATAAGCCGAATTGAAGTTATAAGTCAGTTCAGTTCATCAAATTGAATTTTGAATGGGTTTATTAAAGTTACAGTCGAATTCCAAAAACAATACACAAAGGGATATTCAGATATATATTTATTTAATCAGAAATAAAATGAAAAGTTTATTTATTTAATAATAGAAGAGAAAACTAATATCAATGATAAAATGAGAAGTTGAAAATTATTATCTTTATTACTTGATATGGTTGTACTTTAAATATATTTTAGATTTTGAGTACTTTTATATGATTACAGGTGTATCTACATCACTACTGGGATGTTTACACACCCATTTCTTAATTATTTTCTTGTGATTATGTGAGTACATAATTGTAACTGATTCAAATGGCTGTGTTTACACCCTTATAGTCACATTTATATAGGATTCTTTGTTACTAGTAAAAGCCACAGAACCTAACAGCACCCACCAAAAGCTTTCTAAATGAGCGTCAATATATTGCCTTTAGTTTATGAGTTACTAAGAAACAGGTGAAAGAAGTGAGATGATAAAGCCAGCCTTCACTACAAGATAAACAATAGTGAAAAGAAAGATAGCTTACTCTGCTAACTAAATGCCCTTAAATATGTTACTAATTACATACTCAGAACTATATGACTACCTCCCTATTCTTAGTAATTCACATCTCAGCAATCATCATATTAACCAGAAAATACCTGTATCTTAACAAATTCTATAAAAGACAATGTGGACATGTGATTCTATAAAGCCATCTGATCTTGTAATATTGATCTTCCTGTCACTTCTTTGACAGGCTTTTAAAAAATTGAAATTATTACCAAAATAGAAGGGGTGATACAAATAAATTATTTACAAGCAGAAAAAGTATCAACTAAAATATAAGTATAGAGTAAAATAAAAAACTAAACTTTTAATTCGTTATAATATTTGGTAAAATAACATAGACTTATTTCTGTCTCATTAGTAAAATAGATTGTCAGTATTATGACTT